CCTTTGAAATTCATAGAGGACAAACTCATCGTCCATCTGGAACAACATCGATAGGTGGAATTATGCACGACATGTGTCATCCCCTAGAACACCTATCGCAGACCAACATACGAGCCGCCTAACTAGTTGACTCACATAGCATGCACCTCAAGCCATCACTATTGCCAAGCTTGGATTCATAGTACACTCTACATTTGGGAGGTGATATGACACGCAATTGCGCACAATATCCTTCCAAACAGCACGACATTCCAACATGAGAAATCAAGAAGATAACACCTCCCGCACTCGCAAGATAGTGCGACCGCCATCACATTCAATGTTGTTGATGCAGTCTGCTGTAAATAGACGTAATCCACCACATGAAATCTATGGATCGATGGTCGATAAACCTTCTCCTCGGATGATTGCATACCGCAATGTATTTCTATGTTGAGCAATCGCAAGATTTTCAAACGCTACAAACATAACTCTTTGAAAGAACTCTACACATTGAGAACACATTCTCACCTTCATGTCCGAGTCATCAAGGTTCACCACCTTGCTAGACTCAAGACGAATCGATGCCACAAACTTAAAATTTTGGCCGTACAACGGAAAATATGGTGAGAAATAAGCCAAGGATGCTTGACGACTGAAGCAATATTTCATTACCAACCATGGTAACTGAATATCCCATTCCCAATATGCTTTTCATGTAGACCATACTTGCGCAACGCTTTCTTCATCGTCTGTACAACACGTTCAATCAAACCATCCGCCTTCGGATGATCACGAGACGTGGTTCAATGATCAATCAACGCATTATCACACAAGATTTGAAACTCACCTTAAAACTTTGTACTCTAATAGGTCAACACCTCTGCTGGCGCACCAAAGTGGTCAAGCTTCTTGTCAAGCAAAGCATACATTGTTAACTCATTCGCTTTGTCAAGTAATGCCACCAATTCAATCTACTTGGAAAAATGCTCCACCATCATCAACACATACCGATGATGTCGTACATTCAAAGGTAATGGTCTAGCATTCAAATTTCTTGTCCTCGTCATCACGCTGTGTCAACACCTCTATAAGTCCCAACATACTTCAATAAGTGTGCAACCAGTATGGAGGACCTCTAATGTATCTCTTCAAGATGGAAGCGGCCACCAATCTAATTTTGAGGTCAACAAAAGCTCTCTCTTGTTCATCTATCCATTGCCACTCCTGATCCGACTTCAACAACGAATTCAAAGGTTTAGCTATAACACTAAACCCCTTCACATACCTCTGGTAGTAGTTTGCTAAACCCATGAATGCACAAACTCTACTTACATCTGTCGGACAAGGTATGCATGCAATAATCTTCACCTTTGCTTGCTGAAATTCCAAATCACCTAGATAGATCACATGATCCAAGTACTCAACGTTCTGTTGGAAGAATTTACACTTCTACGAATGTAACCGTAGACCATGAGCCTTAAGTTGCTCAAAGACAATTTGCAAATGTATGTGGTGTTGTTCCACCGTGTTGCTAAACACCAAGATATTATCAATGTAACATCTGACAAAACCCAACCCCGTTAGCATCGTGTTCATTACTATCTGAAACTCGGTAAGTGCATTCTTCAACCCAAAGTGTAAGAATCGTCTTTGATACAAACAATCCTTGTCATGACAGTTGACGCCCCAAAACGCAGACTTGGCATTGCATTACTCTCAAGTCGATAATTGATGATATCCTGCCCGAAGATCCAAAGTACTGAAAATCTTCGCATGTTCCACCACATCAAAGATCTAGTAAGGTGTATGTATGATATACTTATCGAATTTTGTCTGCTGATTGATATGACAGTAGTCTTCACATATTCGCTTATCCGTGTAGTTGCCATGTACATATTTTTTATCGTCATGACAGTGGCTGACAGATACTCACCATGCGACAACTCCACTAACCTAGCCTCCAGTATGTCCAATGTTTTACTCCTAATCAAGTTCATTTCCATATCACTATATTAATAGGGACAACAAAAGATTGACGTATCACTAGCAACTCTATTCGTATATCTGGACCAATGAAAACACCTAATTACTTCAAGTCAAAGACAAAATAATTTCTATACTTACGTAAGAATTGTGTCACCCGTTGTCTCTCTTCTCTTGTGATCTTGGGATCAATCAATGACTCACAATCCTTCTCTATAGACACATTAGAGAAGAAGAGTCTCTCACTGGTTGCTATGCAAAATATTTCAAAGAAACGGTACGGCTCCAAAGGAGTATACGAAGAGCCGTATCCTCCGAATTCCAAGGATGACGAATTGTCCCTGCATGTCCCTGCTAGGGACATGCATGTCCCTGTTAGCCATTGTCTCTACCGTCCCTATATACAATGAGCAAGTGGAGTAAAAATCACCAAATCAATGCGAAATCGCCTTATTCAACCAAATCAAGCTCACAATCCAAGTTAGACAATTCAGATTCATAGCTTGATTGAAATGTGACAACATGACAACTCTCAAACTGAAAGAGTCATCGTTGTTCCGGTATGAAATTCCATGGCAAGCTCGCACTCATCTGCATTAGGTTCTATCAATGAGCATGTGATGCGAGAAAATTCACAAACATCGGTAACACCATATGAAGTTCTCCCACTTCGTTCACCATCGCCATGAATTACTGATTAGTAACTTTCACCTGTCAAAGTTACCCAACATCTAAAATGTTATTCCCCATAAGAGTATGGTCGCGTTGCACAGAATCATATGCTTGTCGCAAGACTTTCCTCGGCAATAAGTTAATTCACCACAAATGTGATCGATGTGCTCGTGAACCAATTCTTGATGCATCGAGCAAAACAATTGAACTAATCCACAACCGCATCTCATATACACTCATCATTAGCAGGATCCAAGTGTCACCCAACAATGGCACGATCTCATGAACAATTCTTCGAGTCAAGCTTGAAGAGTTGGGAGTAATCTTTAGTGGGTTGGTTACAGTATCCGTAAACGTCGAACTGAATTCTTCAATGAATGGGTTGAGCTTGACTGTATGTGACGGTTGCATGTTGAACCCATGGGATTAACACGTCTTATTTCAATTGTGATAAAACTTTTGTTATAAAAATTGAAAATTTTCGTGTGAATCTCATTGGTCAATACACGAATATTATTGTCGAACTCAACTCACTCACTAGAAAGTCTAGTTCAACGGTTACGAGTACCGTATTCAACACACTAAAGACTACTCCCAAAGTTACATGATCGACTCAAAGAACTAAACGTTTTTCAAATGAATCTCAATTATATACTCTTCGACCTCTAACCTTAACCCAACGGTTAAAAATAGTAAACTCAAAAACACATGACATCTTGTTTAAAGTAAATTTGAAAATACTCAAAAATATATTCACCGCCATTATCAATGAGTAAATTTATCATTTTTTGTCTAATATAATTTTCTAATGTGGGTAAAGATATATATCCACAAACACCATGAATAATTATCTTCAAATGATATATAGTACAACTTTCTAAAGTGAAACCTTCGTAGATTAGGATTTTCCCATGTCAAAATATGTTATAAACTTTTTTAGAATTATGTAATCCAATATCAAAAGTACACTTGAATTGTTTATCCAATATTCTATACTCTCAAATTGCCAAATTAATTTTATCAAATCTTGAATTGAAATGTTTATTGTATCGTATTCAAAACTAAGCCATATGAATAATATAGATATATTATTTTTTGATTAGGAGTCACGTTTTAATAAGTATAATGAACATTGTACATAGATATTTGCAAGGAGTAGAATGTCTCTCACCAACAAACAAATGGTGGAAGTTTATCTTCATTCTCCGAGTATGAGTTTAATACCCAAAGATTAATAGAGACTTTACTAGTTAATTATAACTTAAATTATTATAAGTAGCATTTAAAAGAAAATTATGCATTGAATAGTTTTCTAGTGATAATTTCAATATAAAAGATTGCTTTATGGTACCCATGGTAACACAACTAACTTATTGTGATCCATCACAAATCGTTTTACTCAATGGGATAGAACAAAAGTCACACTATTATCAAGTTCTATAAGATTTACTTGGGGGAAACGGGGAAATTGTGGGGAAATTACTCTTTGCATCTATGCTTCTATTTATGCGACGAACTTCGTGGATGATGTTAGATAAGCGCAACGGAGAACAAGAATGCCAACACTAACGATTTCATTTATCTTGATTTTCTTCTTCAGATGATTTACACAAAACATTACCAGAGCAGAGACATTCACACTCACCTGTGCACAGCTCCTGTATTCTTTTTTCGCACTTAACGAAATGTTTTTTCGATTGACTGCATTTATCTCCGCTCTTGTGCGGAGAAAGTTTTGAGCGTGACCTCCCCTTAATTACTCCTGCATGGATTAACAACACAGGATGTTAAATTGTATTGTGTTCATCCTTATTATCAGGGTAACTTGTGAAGATTCTGGTGCCGATTTAATTTGATGACTGAATCAATAAATTTGATGATAAAATCAATCACTGTGATCCACCGTGAAGAGTGGGAGGTTGCTGGAAAGAGAAACTGGGTTCGTAAAACCGCTACCGCTATAGTTCCAGAAATGTCTCCGCTGTATCTTACCTCAATGATCGCGAATCTGATGAAGGATTCAGTGCTTCAAGTTCCCTAGGACATAAATTCTTTCATTCTTTGCTTGACTGGCATTTAGGCTCCAATCCGACATTCTATATGTATGAGGATCCAATACATGATTTGAGACGTGGCGAGGTCAGCTCGTGTGGAAGGCCATACACCGTTTCAATATCCCTATCTGCTGGTAAACCTTCAAGATTCATGCATCCCGAAGATAGTCCGGGATTATAAGAAAAGCTTTTCTTCCTTCCGGATCTTCTTCGTTGGTAAGAACGTTGCAAGACTTGCCATCCAGTGATGCCAGCCAGCGTTCGGTCAACCCGAACCGAGCTTCATCAGAAGGAGAAGCAGCTGTCGAAAGAGCACCGTCTTCGCACAATCCGCGTCAAGCAGGCTTAGTTTCGAGCAACGAGCTACGGCAGATCGCAAGACCTACTCGTCGGTTGCAACCACCGACTACGGGCAGTTAGGCCAGGGGTGGCACTTCTTGCTCGGACTCGTACAAAAACAAGAACAAGGTACCCAACTCAACCAAAAACCCTTACAAAGAGAGGAAGGTGCGTCCCGGAGCCCATACAGTCGATCGTCCTCGCCTCGTTTCGCTCGACGGAAGGGAGAACCACAAACCGACTGCCGATGAGTGGCGGATCGACTGAAACAAGACTCAACGAGGCCTCAACAGATGCCGAATGGCACTCGAAAAAAAACGAAGCTCTAGCGTCCGGCGGCAATCCGACAGGCGCTCGTCCTCGCTCACCTCGTCGTCATTCCTCTCGCTTCGAGAGCCGAACCCTAGGCTCGACCGTGCAACCGTGTACACAATCGAAATCAGCATGGGAAAAAAATAACAAACAAACACCTCATGGCCCCGCACTGCACTGCACGGCTCTGCGGCACTGGATCACGAATCGGTCGAGACACGAGGGAGTACGAGAGCGAGGGGGAGGCCGGACGAGCTGGCCGTGCGCCTCTAACCGCTTCGACTGTCCGTGCAGCAGCGGCAGCGGCATCGCGTATTTCTACCCGCGCCAACCTCCGACTGTGCCTCGAGCGGGAGGCGGCCCCCGCGCCCCTGCCCACCCGCCCGCGCGCTGGGGTTTTGTACGTTGAGGGGCGCCTCGTAGCAACGTCTTCGCATCGTGTGCCCCACCATTTCTGCCCAGCAGGAATATTGCATTGGAGCTGTCCGTCTCGGACTCAGGCGCCTGCGTCAGCAATCTTGGAGCCTAGGCTGTCTCGACCCCGCGCCCGCTCGATCATGATACGAAAATCGCCGTCTGTGCATGGGCGGCCGATCGGAAGAACGTCGTCGTCCTCGTCGTGGGACAATGCGCCGGAGCTTTGTCCTTCGAGCTGGACGAGTCCTTCGGAGCATTAGGTTTTCTCCTTAGCTCCTTTCTCCCAGTGCCGTCTGTTCTCCTGCGTGCCCGATCGCATCGCATGCAGTTCTCTGTAGCGTGCGCGAGAGTGGAATTTCCCGATTGGCCTATTCCGATTGGCCTGCACGCAGACTTTCGTACGGGCTCGGGCTCGGGATGGGTCGCTTCGATCGATCGATCAATCGTCGGTCCTCGGTCCTCGGGGACCACGAGCGATCCGCGAGCAGTCGATGAATGAGGTGATTGAGGCGAATGTTGATGCAGAGCTTCTCGAATGTGGACGACTGTGTCCGAATTATAATTTTCGCCCTTTGGAGCTCGTTTCGGGCTAGGTTTTTTTCTCTGGCCCCGCCGAGTCTCGACCCGCTTGCTTAAAAAAACATGATTTCTGTTGCTCCTGCTTTTTCCCGACGAGATGAAGCGATTATTTTACTCGATGTGTTCTTGTCCCGGGTCTTCGATATCTGTAGCTCTTGCTTTTTTGCGACGAGATGAAGCGATTAGTTTATTCGGAGTGTTCTTGTCCCGGGTCTTCGGCTTCGCTCATGCTCTCTTACCGAGAGCTTTGAGCTCGCACGCATCCGAAATGTCTGCAGCCGTTGAAGCCGTGGCTGTGCTTTAGATCTGAATCTTGCACCAGCTCTGAGGTGCTTGAGGTTCGATGCTGAGAGTGATCCTTGTACTCGGCCTTTGACTGGGGAAGAATCTGAATGTGCGATCATCACTTCACTGAAGTGAGCGGCTACTGGTTGTCGAGGTCGGACCGGTCCACGCATCGTAATACGGCTTCGCTCGTTCTCTCTTCCCGTTTGAGCCCATCTCTGCGGATCACCGTCCGACTTTTGAGTCTAGTGCCCTGCGGAGAGTAAGCTCCTCGTAATGAAATCTTCCTGGCAAATATCCCGGGGTTGAGGATACAGAGATCACACCTCGACGGATTTGCGTTGGCAGAAGAACGGCATGAACACGACTCTGTGTGTTTGATCGGAAAAAATTTGGCTGGGGAATTCTCTAGGTCTCGGTCTGCAATGCCTGGCCCGCTGTTCGTTTTGCGGACTGTCCTTCATATAATTTACGTTGTACACGAGGATGTCAATTTTCTGGATCCGATGCCGCGGGATAGCGAGACCTGAATCACTTTTTACACATGCGCTCGCTGCTCAATCCGGTTGCAGGATGTGTTCGGTAATTGAAAGAAGTCCAGTGAATGCCAAACTCAGTCCAGAAATCCCTGCAAGAATCTCTTTACTACCATGTAAAAAAATTCTTCTGCCTGCTCCTGGTCGGTCGGTGTTCAAATTTTTGTTTGTGACGGAGTCTTGAGGGCTCATCTACTCCAATCACGGTTGTCGTGGTGGTTCTTCCACCACCACAAATGTGTTCGCGGTATTAGCTGGCTGCTGGATCTCAGATCCCAAAGCTCTAGATCTTTCCACATCCTAGGTGGGCACAATGAAAGGTTCTCTTCTGAATGTCCTTCGCGGAAATGGTTGGCCCCGTTGGAATAAGGTGGGCATCCCTCTTTACTGCTAGCAGGATGATGACACTGACTTATCAGATTACTCGCTGACGGTACATGAGCCCAGAGTTTGACCATCTTACTCTACAAGAATCCTCGTTGCCCATCCTCAAGGACCGCATACATCTGTTGGCTGTCCTTGGTGGCGGTCAGTGAGTAGTCTTGCAGAGTTAAACCAACGACCGAAATAGAGGGTGGCGACGAGGAAACCAGCTTCCCGATTCCTTACACCCCCTCCGGCCTCATCGTCAAAGATTGTGTCCTAACGAAGGTAATGTTTCTGAAGATCCTATCAGGTAGAGTGACTGAATCAAAAGTGAGTACTATGTGTGCGTGTCTGTTTATAAGGCTGCGTTAACGAAACTGAGCACTAAAAGTAAATATTAGAGTGGAAAGTTTTGATCGATATGAGCCTCTTGGCAGTTGTTTGACCATCGTGTGTGCATGCTTAATCATGTCTTCCAGGGGCAGTCCTTGAGTAAGAGGAAGTAGAACTGGGTCCTCAGAGCTTCTCCATGAGCTTTTTTAGTGTTAGGTTTCGCATTGCATCTTAGACTTGCTGAGTTACAACTCTAATTTTATCCACCTGTGACATTCAAGAAGAATGAATATAAAGCGCTCTCTCTCTCTCTCTTTGCTCTCGGGCTCCAGACACAGGCGTTTCTTCTCACAAATAAAATATTGGTTGCCGAATCTCTATGGCCATTCTCGAGCCTGCAATGATATCATTTTCATTCGAGAATAATGTAGAGAATGATTTTGAACATCCTACTTGCTTGAGAAGATATGACCTCTATGAAAATCCGGGCAACGAAACATAACAAATATTATATGTTTAGGGCTCATCAATTTTTTGTGGTGAAGCTCTGGCCTAACGAGAGAAATACCTGTATGCATACAGCAAAGAGGTTTCTACAGAAATGAGGGCTTTCCACAAGTTTTCAGGTTGACTTTTGAAGTGAATGTTGGTCGCTTACTGGAAGCTTTCAGAGGTTTTTTATCCCCGTGGTTGATGACCATATCTGCGAGTCTGTGAAAAGCAAGCTTGTTTGCAGACTGGTTCTTTTTCAACTGGGAAAATATCAAGAGCGGAAATCTATAGCCAAGCTTTCTGGGAAGAACCACTACTATCTTGGTCGGAAAATGACAAGGAGCCGATAATAATATATGATTCTGTAGAAAAGGTCCAATACTTTCAAAAAATTCATCGAGCTTCCCACTTTATGATACTGCCATGACCAACTTGACATTAGCTCGAGCCATACGATCTGACGCTCAATAGTGCAACAGATGTTCACGAAGACATAGAAGAAGTAGACGCAAGTTGCACATTTTTCTCATTTTTGTCTCGGAGAAGTGATGTATCCAAGACAAAGAATTAAGATCACTAAAATTGGAAGGCTGTACATGTCGCAGTGAGCATAATCACTTCACCATCATTTGAAAAACTGAGGTGCATCCATGCATAATCAAGAAGTAGGTAAAGTGGACGCTAGCTGCACATTCCGTCCCGGCTGAGCTCAATCAAGTGTCCAGCTGCAAGCACGACACCCTTCCTCGCAAGTGAGATTCCGTATGTGCGTATGGGCAGATCCTGCGACCGAGACTGAAGCGGACGAGCGAGAGGACGTATTCATCATTCTAGGTCCCATTGATGCAGAGCTGGGAACAAGGAACCTGACTTCACGAACCCAAGCCCCACGGCGCATGAAGGTTGGAGGTGTGCAGGGAGGAGCGCCATGGAGGGTCGTTCGAAGTACGTGCTGGGACAAGTCAAGCATCATTGAGTGCAGTGAGTGGGAAAGTTCTGTTTTGCGGTTTCATTTGTATCGTTGGGCAGCTGGTAGCGGTTAATATTAGCACGATGAGGTCGGTACGCTGCGTAGTGAAAGGGGCTTATGGGGGTGGGGGAAGTCAAAGGGAGGCTGGGATGGTGCGCTCGGTCGTCACCATGACACATATCACAACTTGTGACACCATGCTGGTAGACGGTGTCAAAATACAATTGACGGCGATGGTATCTGAAGAGACATGACGAGGAGGGGGCGGTAGGGTTATAGGAGGAGGGCCGTATGTGCAGGAGAAGATTGCCCTCGGTCACCATGATTCAGGAAATGCATCCAATAGCTGGCATCTACTGGCCGGCTTGAATGGCCGTGGCTGTGTTTGTGACGATGGCAATCCTGAGAGGGATTACAGAGGGATGGGTCAAAGACTGCCAGGTGAAAAGTAGCCACAGAAGGGATCATCCGGAGCTCGTGCCACCAAGATTCTCTCGAGGCATAGTTTGGTATCAATAACCTCTAATGAAGATGCAGGAATCCGAGCAAGCAGTTGAGCATTCTGCAAGTATATGATGAGGTCGTCATGGAGCTCCAGGCTCAAGGGGCACGGGAGGGGGAGGTTTGCTCGAGGAAGGCTAATTCGAACGAGAAGATTGTAGGCTCGGGCATTCATCGATGCGTGTGAAGCAAGGAAACTACTGTATCCAGTGGGTACTTCTCACTGCACCAGGAGGAATATTACACTTTACGAGTAATGAATGACAATGTTCGTTTCTACCCAGCCACCCAGCTAGCCTGCCTGCCTGCCTGCCTGCCTGCCTGCCTTCCTTCCTTCGTGCGGTGCGAATGCTGCTGCTGCACCTGGAGACGTCCTGAGTGCTCACGGCGAGTATTTTTCTACGTCTTCCATCCATTCCAAACACTTGGGCCAGGTAGTCGCGTTAGCTGACCCACGAATGATTCACCCCTCCACTTACTGATTCACCACGAACGCTCTGCACCCTGCTGCAGCAACAACAGCTGTGCTGCTAGCTGCGCGTTTGAATGCTGTGATTTAGAGAAACATGTTCCAAAGCTCACAATTATCATTTGGACAAAATAAAACAGCTTCTGCTAAGCAAGGCCCGACCGTTCGCTAGGCAGGCAGGCAGACAGACAGCTTCTCTCGCTCACTTGCATTTTTATAAGGTCTTCTCTATGTTGCTGGCCGGGGTAGATGGACAAATTTTGAATAGATGGTGATGATGATTCTGGACCCGGGTTCAAAAGTTTCGCATTTCTCATCCGTGCACAGTACGATTCAGCAGACATGTTGGCAATGAGCTAACTCGGTCCTTGGTGCTGCTCGTCCAGCTAATGACACACACTTGCTGGTCAAAGTCATGATTATTCCTTTGCTGCTGGAGCTCAATTCGTCCTCAAGTGATGCAATTTACTGTAGGCCTTGACTAGACACGGAAAGTGACACTGCACATCTTTCTAACAAACTCCATGACGAGCAAAGAATGGGCTCGTTGTACATCTGGAGTTTGTTGGATTCTCCATTCTCAAGCTGATCATTAAACTTACACGTCGTCATAGCTTTAAACAATCTGCTCTGATCAGATGCACTTTCATTCCTTTATCAAAGCCTGAGCATAACCAACACCTTTTCCGAGCAGGACGCGGTGGTCAGATCTTTGAGTGTCCGACGGGGACACGGTCTGCTCATCCACACCCACCTTTACTCGACCTGCTTTATCCACATCCTGTGACCAACGTGTGCTGTTCCAAAGACTAATTCATGGCCGAGACAAGCTCAGAATATCTCATTTCGTTTTTCCGCCTGAACTGCCAACAGGCATTCGGCAATCAGACTCGTACAGCTTTGCGAGAAAACAACTTTCCGAACCACTTTTCTTCCTTGTCCTACATCCCCCATGTTGACCCAAAGGGGTTCTCGGATCTTTCTGATTTGTCGTATATTTCTCGACCTTCTGTACTATCATGTCGTTATTATACTTCTGAATTTCAGACATGGGATGACTTTTGTGCTATTTATACATGTGGCAATCAGAATATGTTGAACAGTTTCTCGGTTGTGGCGGAAACTTGCTACGAAAGTTGATGCCAAATACGTGATTCAGATTTTTTCCCCCTCGAGTTTGATCGACTGATGGTGTAGAGCTAGTGTGTAGGAACTGATATTTATGCTAGTGTCAAGGGTTTCACACAATGTAAAATCAGATTGTTTGAGCCCAAGGAGCTAAAATTTGGAAAAGAATATCAGTGTGCAATTTCAACCGATACTCCATCACAGGCTTCAATATCCATCGGTACCTCGAGTCGTAGAAGCGTTTGTTTTGACAGCAGCGGATTACCTGATTAACTCAATTTATGTTAATTTTGAAAACCAGTGGAAAAAAGTCAAGATGACTCGAGTATGATAGGGACGACGTTATTAGTGTGACGTAGTACTTATAAATGTGGACTTTTGTGTATGAGTCATTACATCTTATTTTTCAGCCATACGGATATGTGAAAAAGGAATCCGATCGGAGTCTGGATGCGAATAGAAAAAAGTCTCTCATCCAAATATCATCGACGTAACTAGGAAAAAAAAGGAAAAGTTGCCGCAGAACTAAGCGAAAGGTGTACTGGATATCTGATGATGCTTCAAAACCCATTGTACAACATCGGGCAGCAAGCCCGAGCAGCAGCAGCAGGAATATAGTAGAGTAGAGAAGGAGTCGAGTAAAGTATTGAAGGTTTTGGATCAAGGCACTGTAAGAGGATGCAATCTGGGCGATAGTTTATTGGCATCAGTAACCGTCCTTGGCAGAAACTGAAAATCGAACCATTTCCAGGTTGGTTTTGATGACCAACCCAGAGACTTGGACTGGACATGCGATCACAGACTGGAAGTTTCTTACGGAGGGGAAGCTCGTAGCTAGCCGGGCTGAGCCAGGCAGCCAGCCAGCCTGTGAACGGGACAAATGTGCCAAGTCATGTCGGGGTTATGCCGACGACCAGATCGTTCATGATCAGTAGGTCGGCCTGGACAAGGTCTGGTCACTCACTCGATCGAACTCACGATGGATTGTCAACAAAACAAGCCGCTGAGATTTTTTGCTGCATTTTCTAATCTGAATGTGGAAAGAGTTGAACTGTAAAAGTAGGCTGCAGAGATCAACTCGTAGTCGAAGTGGCCGTCCTGCAGCTCTTTCTCGAAGCTCACAATTACATTGACTCTGACTCATCTGAAAGTTCGTGCTTCGCTGAATAAATCAGATATTTCGAACTGAGCGTTACCATACCTCCCTCCCCCCCACCCTCCAAACAACGGATATTCCTCGCGCTGAAGAAGAGCCTGCAGCAGGCAGGCCGGCAGGAGACGGGGACAGGGTCGCGGCAGGGGCCAAAATATCACACCCCGGGCTTTCACCAGCTGCGTACTTTCAGTGCGTTGTTGCCCCCGTGGACTGATCGACAGATATGAGAAGCAAGAGTTCCCTCATGGATTTCTTCTGAAATGTCTTGTGCCTTCTGCCTTCTGCTTTCGTACTAAGTAAGTCTCGAGAGTCGAGTATTACTTTCATGTGATCATTTCCACTTCGCCTACACTAAGCATTTAACATACCGTGACGCACCGACTGTACCGTCTGACACTCTTTCTCACACTGACTCTTGTTTACTTACTTGTGGCCTCTCGTGTAACAGCTGCCAAGGTCCGTCATCACCGAAATGAGGAGGACCTGTCCCTTTCCGGCCATTCCGGCCCCAGCAAGGAATGCAGGGAGGGAGGAAGGGAGAAAGGGGATGTGATATTGAGGTTGCGAATACAGCAGTATTCAAACCGAGTCATCCTGTACTGTACTGGTGCTCAATTCTCAGGGGCTGAAGACGGTGAGAAACAGCTCCCGTCCAAATCACTCCATACTGTACTATACTGTACCAGGTTTATACTATGTACAACTTGTCCTGCCGCTGCTGCTGCGACTGATCGTCCTGCGAGTTCTAGCAGAGGTCAGTACCGTGTACTGTGACATCAGGAGTCTATTTCTCGCAGTAGAGGGGACGTCATCCCTTCACCATCATCCACCGTTGAATTTTATTCTTCTCGAATCACGCGGATTCAAGAATTAACTACCTGGTCGCTGGTGGAATGGAGACCCGTCGGAATGCTCTGTTGTCTCTAGGTGGACTTCATCCTGACAACATTCAGCCTGCCATTTCTGTCCATCACACAAGGACACGGCAATCTCAATTATGACAACGTCTGTAGTGAAGAGTGATGATGGTCGTTCCCTGTGGTCCAGTATCTCTTTAGTCGATGGCATGCAAGTCCTCTACGCTAGCAACCGGAGCGATGGAGATATTGCTCGAGAACTTGCCCCGCTCCCATACTGCACTCTCTCAAGGTATTATACTCTTCTTCAACTCATTGTTTTGCTGTTGCTCCAGCTGCTGCCGAGTTCATGCGGAACACGAGGTGAACCCAGACCCATCTGCACTCCTGGATCTCTCTGTCTCCCTTTGCTTTTCATAAAGTGCCTAGTATTTGGCTTTGCTTTCGATTCATGAGAAGGACTTCATTTCCCAACGGTGTGCCAGGTAAGTTTCTAGCGATCAGTGGATAGATAACCCTTCATGACCTGCAATGAACTAAAACTTTATGAAGGCTTGAAGAACAATATCTTGAAACCCCATCGAGAACCAAACGCCAGAAATGAACCACACTTCCACGAGGAAGTAGAAGCAGAAGTGAGAGCATAGTACCAATGGCAAGTCATGGATTCTCCTGCTGATTGAACCAATTGCTACAAGAGACGAACCCTATCTTTGCGAGGGATCAGTTGCTCTCTCATTGTCAACACTCCCATAATTCTGCTCGACCTACACAAGCTTGTGTCGCTGTCACAACGAGGCTCAACAGATCCAGACAAGGCCCACACTGAATGCCACATCTTCAATAACTAACCGACCAGACCAAATCTAGTCTTCAATAAAGGTCAACAATTCGGGTATTCCGTGCCGTCATTTTTTACGTGACTGTCTCTCCAAGCTGCAGAATACGTTTGTTTTAACGCGTGGTCTTTTTGTTACCATAAGTCCCTCATGATTAGAATATTCTGTAGCTCTAGTCCTTTTCTAGTTTCAGATCTTTTGTTGCTGCATTGTATTTATTGGTAATAACTTTGTTTGACAAAAGTTTTACTCTCATTTTGTTTAGGTGATGATCATCAATAATAATTTGATGTGATCCATATTAAACAAAAATAGTTTAATGTGCAACAAGTATCGTTTTATCCTATGGTACAAATTTGAACAAAGTTCTTGTAACTACAGGTGAATTCTATAGTGTGTTTGGGGTTAGTGACTGCAAATCGCACTATCACCGAGTGAATACACCTCCAAAGTCACCGCTTCTGAACCCGATGCCTGCGAGTATGTTCCTGTAGGTTTGCCATGATCTATCAAATAATTCTTCAAGATTGTTCCTTGATTAATCAATGCTCCTTGGAGAGTGTATCTGGGCTGTTCCGGTTTTTCGATATGTCACACATTCGTTTTATAATCGAGATTATGTTCAAAGAACCTATGCTGGAGGTTTAAGATTGACCACCTCCACTTCCGATCTCAAAATCACTTGGATTCATCCACAAGACTCCCGAAGTGCCCGGCAGCCTCCCCTCAACCCTGCTCCGCTAGTTACTCCTTCCTCTCTATGCAGGCGTCTACGGGTGTCGTCTCATTGCCCGCACTCATTCGCTGCCCGTTCCCAGATAGTCGTTCGTTATTACAGAATAATTGGACGGTGTGACGTAGAAGAGATTCCATCGGGTAAAACTATACTTGTGGAGTCCCAGTAACGTAATTGTCTTCTAGAAGGGTTCTATCAAATAATTTACTCTTAAATTCCTAAATCATCACCAAATTTTTCATCAGATTCATTTTTCATCAATCATCAGATTTTGATCTGCCAAGTTTTTTATGCAGTTTATTATCCTCTTGTAACGGTTGATTTATCTCCAAATGTAATCCTAGCTTATAATATCTTGTTGTTATTTATATGTTTTATTATATTGATGAAAATTCCTCATCAAAAAACCATGTTTTATTTATTAAAATAATTCATTACAAACATATTATTTTATTAATGATCAAAAATTTGAATTAAAAAATCTTATTAATAATCACTATATTTATACATGTCTCATTATGTAAAAAAAATATTTGTAAACTGAAAAATAAGTTGTAAAAAAATTAAAGACATATCTAATTAATAATATTCATTCAAAAGATTTAAAAAATATGAAAAAATTTAACATCACGGAGGAATAGAAAAACATTATACAAATGTGTTTTATAGTTTTAGTGTTTTTCATAACATTTGTAATAGATCATGATTTAAAAAAAATTCATAAATAAATTAATAATTATAGAAATGAATCTTTCTATGAATATTACATTTTCAAGTAAAAATATTTGATAGTTTTTTTTTATAAACGAAATTTTTGTTAGGTCAATAATTTTGAAGATAATTTATGATATGATAATTTCATAGTTTTTGAATCTTCACAGTATTTCAACAATGCACTAAGATAGTATATTTTAATCTTCTTGATATTACACATATATTAAAGCAGAAATATTGTTAAATTTACCCCGAGTTGTTAAATTCAGTACTCTTCGCGGCAGTTGTCATGGCAACAAAACATGACAACAAGACATAGGTGTTGGACTCTCTTTCTTAAATGCTTTCTCTCCCTTGTGCCAAATTTTTTTCAATAAGTGAAGTTTGCACACGGGATCAAGAGTGTTATACGATGTTTTTGGTATCCCATGTTATACGATGTTCTACGGTGTATTGTAAGAAAGTATTGTGTTTTGTGCAAGAATTAGTAGTGCTGGCAATCAAATAGCTGAATTTGCCTTTCATGATGATACTGATTAAATTCAAAAGATTTAGATGCCACATGGTACTTTGCAGGCCATTGGCATTTAAATTGAACAGCCTTGTTGCCACGACAACTGCTCGGTTGGAAGGTGAACTTAACAATCCCCTAAAAGTATTCAAGAAGATAAATAGTAATCATATATCCTTGATAATGAATAAACTAAGAGGTGAATTGGTAAAATTTTATTTTTATTTTTAGATACTAAGTATTTAAAAATATGTTGTATACAATAGGGAAAGAAAACTTTATTGTGGCTCCTTATAGAATAAAATTATGATTTTATATGTTAGTTTTGAAGTCCGAATAATGATTTCAAAATTATGTACAATTCAGGACTAGATTTTTGTAATACTTATATAATTTCAGCTTAAGCAAAGATAACTAAGAGATCAAATACTTTCAAGATAAAACAATGTACATGAAACAAAACTTAATATTTTATATCATTTAACTGAACGAACATTACACTCTAGAATTAAGCCATATGAAATAATACTTCATAAATTCTTGCATAGATTTATACATATCAAACAAAATTTAGCATTATGAAATCTATGACAAGATGAATGACTCTTGAATAATTTTCGTAGCTACATCCTTGTTTTCTTGTAAATTTTGGCTTCTCATGATCAAATCTGAAACACCTGCAGTGGATTTAAACCGAATGATAGCTTTTAATGCTTGCAAATATTTTGATGAGCCTTGCAACAATATCATTTTCTTTGTGAAGTTATAATACATAGTAGAATTTGGATATATAAACATGGAAGATCAACTTGGTGATGTTCACATAAAACGCTTGTCACGAAACAAATTGGTATAGTTTGATTTTGCATTCTAAAAAAGCATTGAATTAATGAGGATTAAATGATTTGAATCAAACATAAACATATTTCATTGAATAGGTTGAAATTCATTGAAATTACATTTCTCTATAGAATACGACATACAAGCTAGTTTTAAGACAATTTTCATGTTGGTAACGGCTAGTTATCCTTTACTTTTGGTTAATTATCCCTCAGCCTACTATACTCTACCGAGTAAAGGTTTGTGATTAGTCAGATGCAATGACGGGGATATAATTTTTAGAGTAGAAGACACATAGTCAAAGCCAGCTAGAGTACTCAATCAATTACAGCCTTGCAATCAAACGTTGCACAAAAATTGAGTATGGTTAGAGCTAGATTGCTTGATTAGTCAGATGCAGTGACGGGGATATAATTTTTAGAGTAGAAGACACATAGTCAAAGCCAGCTAGAGTACTCAATCAATTACAGCCGTGCAACCAAACGCTGCACAAAAATTGAGTATGGTCAGAGCTAGATTGCTTGCTAATGAAGAACGTGCATGGACGTGGACACGTGAACTAAGTTAGAGGTGGAATGGGGTTGTGCGTGGTTCTTGTGAAGATCCATTAGACGAGGAGCTAAAATCGGAAGGGAAGAAGGCTAAACGTTAGTTTTAGAATGAAATAAGTGCAGAAAATGTCATATGAAATTGTCGCAATGAAATACGTATGAACCCTATAGAAGGTGGTTTTGACGTGAGGTGGCGTCTGGCACGTCAAAGCCGCCTTCGTAGAAAACTCCAATCATAACTTGATTTGTGATTCTTAACTCAACACAAGCGGAGAACTTCGTTCAATAGAAAATCAAAGGGGAATAAATGAAACTCCGCCAACTCACAAAGAAATAACTATTATAGAAGTAGCACCGAAAATTATATACACGTTCTTGCATGTGACCAATCACATATATCTATTTTTGTAGAATATAATATGTCGAGTGATAATTAATCTAATGTGAGTGATAACTACCCAGACTTCTTCATTTTAAGACAATTATACGATTTCTATTTCATTGTATATATATATTTAACCTCAATTGAGGGATTTTGAACTCACATACAAATACTATTTCTGTATTGAATCAAAGTATTGAATAATATGCTGAATTAAAGCATCATATGGAAATCCCCTAGCTTTGGAACTCGAGGACTAACACGATCTGTACACTCAAGTTGCATATCCCCCAACGTGACATCACCTCGCGCCTAGATTTCTCATTTGAATATTTGTTGCCACAACACTCAATCCATCTATGTACCATCACCAAGGATCTTGAACAAATTTTCATATATACAATTGATTGTGTACGGGATAGTAGATAAGACTAAAGTATATATAAACACTGAAGATAAATCTCAATTGGGAGATCGAGTTTTAAAATCCCATTGGAAATCAGCATGTAGTCTCTTCTGAAATGTCTTATCAGTCGAATCTGTTGATACCATAATGGTTTCATTTCTTCTTCGTCATAATACTTGGATCGTGTTAGGTACCCCAAGGTTCGAATGCAGAAATGTAGACACGAGTACACATTGTGAATGGCAACACGATCCACCGAAATTTGTGGGACGCAGTTTGTTGTTATCCCGTCACTACTGAGAGTGCCGATCCCAAGGACTTGCTGCGAGTGACGGGATTCCGATCTGCCTCCGTATGGAAGTATCTGAGCTGACTGCTGTCCAGTGCCGGGTTGCCACCAGCCAGCCAGCTCCATAAAGAAACGCGGCTGCCAGAATCCGACAGCTAATACGGCAAACAATCGGGTCCAATATGCCGATAAAGATGGCTCATCCGAGGCTGGCTTGATCCAAGTATGCGCCACGTCATTTCTCGACTGCTCTAATCAACCGAAATCGAATCACGAGTGAGGAGTGCTCCGTGGCCGAGTCTTCCGAATCGCTTCATGGCGTCTCACGCTTAACGGTCGCGGGAGGGAGAGTGTAAGAGGTACGGGGTGGGCAGTTTGGATTTCGTTCGTTCTTAATATACCCGAGAATAGGCTTGATATCTCATGGTGAAGGTGATAGAATAAGGCATGGGATTATATAATTTTTGTTTCATCCAGGAGTTATGGAGGAGCAGCAATAAATTCATTCCGAGGTCGATGTATACGACGAGCTACCGACTAGCCTAACTCGATATGTGAGCTGCCGGGTGATTCATACGACTCGGATGAAATCAGTCCACTGAAAATATCCTCGTTCAGTCAATAAGGACGGGATTGATAACGATGTTCTTTCACGTACTTAGGTCGATGAACTGACTGCTAACTTCCTCGTCAGTTCTTTCGAATGGAGAATTGGGAATCCGTTTCTGACTCGGTAGCTGTCTCTTCGACAAAGAAGCAGTTGTAGACGAGGCCGGCGAGCTGGGATTCATGGGTGTGCGATCTGGAATTTTGAGATCCGTACTGGAGGACCTCGTGAGCGAGGTCTGGACGGGCTTGGGAGTCCAGATCGAGTACGATATATACAACACAGAGACGTACTTTTCGTGTTCTAGAATGTTCACTCACATTTCAATCATGTGCGAAATTCAGAAAGTGGATTGTGTTCATGATGGGCGACGCCTTGTGAATCTATCAATCATGATTCGGTTTGCAAATGGCCTGAAACATCAAGATAAGACAGAGAGTTGAGTAGTGGCCAACACGTCAAGGCCGCATGCGTTGCCATGTCCTGCTTTTGTGGCCGAAGATGAAATGGACTGCTCTGTCAGGTATGAATTCTGTCATTTATGTCGTGCAGGACGAGTACATCCGGATTAGTACACTTTGTAATCATGCATTAGCACACCAAAATCCTCCGCTTTCTCTTCACGAAGCAATCTTTCAAATACGCCGCGAGAAGACCCTAAACCCTAAACCTTTTGCGCATTTGAAAAGCACCGAGACCCCATGATTCGCACATCCGGACTGGATTGATCGTGGAATTCATCAGTAGGCCATAACCATAGTACCCGCCGTACATTATGTCCGAGGCTTCGGTGCATCTATCGTTTGCGACATCAATCAAACAATGTCGCAATCACACCGATGATTGCACTTACCGCGGTTGCTTCATGTTCACTCTCGCGATTGCATCTATCGTTTGCGACATTTAATGCTTTGTTACGAATCAAGAATAACGTCAACTTAATCTCGAGAACTTATGAATATATCGGAACGAAGATTTGATATTGAATCAAAAAAATTTCAGGTAAAGAAATGATATAATATTTTAATTTTTTTTTATAATTATTGTTTTTATATCAATTTAGATATATATGATTTTAGTATAGTAAAATACATTAAATAAAAATAAAAATTTTGTTTTATAAATATAAATACGATTTGATAATATTTAAAAAATAATTAATCAATTTTTAATATAATTAAACAAAATTGCCAATGCCAAGATTCAAAATCTATTTCTAGTATAAAATCGACAATGATTAAATTTGGTTTTATTCATAGATTTTTTACATTTATGTTATTTTTGAATATGTATACAAAATGTAAGTATTATTTCCCATCTTGAGAAATAATCAACTATAGTAAAATCTTTGATAATAAATAACAGTAAAATAATCTATAGGTGACAGAAATAATACATGTGTATTTCTTAAACGTTTTGGTCAATTCATTAAACTATATTTTTATCTAATTAAAAATATATTCACATAAAAATTAATTTAAGTTTAATCAATTAAATAAAAACATTTATTTCTATTTATCTATAATTTAAGGATATATTTTTCAAAAGAAAAATTAAATAATGTAGATTGTAATTTTATTTTGAAATTGATGAAAATATAATAAAATTTGCATAAAAATTTAAAATTTGATATATATGAAATATTAATTTACTTTACAAATATATTTATAATAAAAAATTTATATTATTTTTTTAAAAAACGATGGAATCATAGTAACGTAGTTAAATTTCGAATATTATCCAAACACAAAATTCCACTACACACTATTAATGTAAATCAAATATTTTACAAATGTATAATGAGTCGATTTCATTTTCATACGACCCACATTATATTCAATACAAGATGTTCTCAAATATTTATTTGTAATAAAATCTAAATCCCTGAAAGTTATGAACTTCTCTAGGAGCGGGCTGCGCAGAGATACAGGTCGAAGTGGGCTGGCTCGCAATCGCGAGAGTGAACATGAAGCAACCGCGAAGCGCGGCGACAGCCTGATCCAGCTTTGCCCAACGATGAGCTGTGATCGAGCCCGCCTCCGGTACGTGGTAAGTCGAAATCGCGCGCACTAACTTACAGTAGACTGCGAGTGACGCCGTAAAGGGGGACACGCAAAATCGGAACCTGCTGCTGCTGCTGTCGAATGGAGTCGAGGAAGATGTGAAGGGAAAGGCAAAGGCAAAGGCGCCATTGTTTAATGCTCGAGTGAGCAAGGCTAGCGTAGTGAGTTCGCGCATGCAGATGCAGCCAGCTCATGCATCCGATGCCTGCAGTCTATCGAGCACAGCCTCCCTCCCTACCTTTCGAATCTTCGCAGCGCGGGTCACCCTCTACCCGGCACTCCAGCACGCTAGACCTCAGCATCTGACACTCGACTACACGGCTTAAGGTGTCTGGAATGAGCAGTCGCCCAGTCGACCAGCTGCTTGGCCTTGCGCATGCACATGCTTGAGGTTTGCAGCTGCTGCTACTACAGCTGCGCTCATTCATTCACACACCGAAACAACCCACAGCCGATTGTAAATTCTCCCACTCACAGTGAGAAGAAGACGAAGGCATCGTCTGTCTGTCTGTCTGCCTGTAGTGGCGTCTTCTGCAGTAGCACAAGGCTCAGATCATGGCGTGTTACCTTGATCATACAGACAGCCAGCCAGCAAGCGACTGAGCTGTGGGACTGCATCACTCAGCGTAACCAATCCTCTCGAGCCTCCGATCGCTTGCAGGAATAACCACACGCAAAAAAATGCCCCACGGATTACACGATCGTGCAAGGAATGCTATAATGGAATTCTGCGAACTGCGTGTCACACATACCTAAGCCGCCGCGGTGGCGGCGGCGAGAATTCTCGAGCGCCTCGCCGACAGCTCTCACGAGCCGGAACCGCAGTGTCGCCAGCACCAGGTTCTAGTATCGTATCTCATCGTGACGGTGCAAACCCTGGTCGGAGATGTTTCCACCATTGCATAGTCGAGAATCGATCGATCCATGACCGGTCAGATTGCTGGGTGACGGCGAAACTTAAATGGCCTGATGCCCGGTGAGAAGCTCTCGCAGCGCACACGGATCCAGTGGAACACATCATCAATGTTAGCGCTAACACATGCAAACCAGGCAACTGCACCGAGCTGCGCTGCAGTGCAGTCTGAACAAGAGTTGTGATGATAATCTACCTGCTTCGAGGACGCCACTGGAGCTACATACCTGGAGTAAGGCGGAGCACATGAACCCAGTCGTCAGAAACATGATGAGTCCAGGTTCAGGACGGGCGATGTGAATCTGAACCGAGCCGTCAGAGTGGGTAGAGTGGTGAGATGAACTCGAACCGGAAGACAGGCGGTAGGCAGGCACGGGAAGAAGATGCAGATACTCAAACTTGTCTTCTGGTCACGTCAATACCTCCTCCTTTTGGCTGCCAAAGAAGGCAAGAGATCGAAACTGGTGTATCCAATTCAACAAGCTCCCGAGGAGGAAGCCAGGAGGTCCACATAAACCCCAATCGGGTGGAGCCGTGACCACATGACCCCGGCCGGTGAGATCTTTCAATGGAAAGCTCTGCTTCCATGACAGCCAAAGGAGGGGACATCAATGTTACCAAGGAACAAGTTTGGAATATCTGGATTTGTGTGCCTCGGTGATCAGGTCAGCGAAGCTTGGACTTGTGGGCTGCAGCCAAGCAGAAGAGTAGCCGGGCAGCCGCAGGAGTCACTCGCGACGATGATGTTGTTGCAGAGCCCCCAAGGAAACGAACCATAGAGCGAGAGAGCGAGAGAGCTTGCTTGGACACAGGTTCCCCGATATGCCTGACGACAGGCAAGCCTTGCCTTGCATTGCATTGCACTGCATTCCGTGATGGGATCATCTGCAGGCAAACGATCGAGCTCGGGAATCCGGAGGTGGGAAAATGAAAGGTCCAGCACATTCATGAACATCTTTTGTAGTGTCGCGGCCGCTGGGGTTCATCGCACAAATAAAAACAGATAGATAATAAGCATCGCCTCTCTCTCTCTCCTTTCACACAACGTACAGACAAAACGTTGCTCCGCCATTAGCTAGAGACACATTAGTGGTGCGCTGCTGATGGTAAGCATCTAAATGGAGAAACCCATGTATCAAATGACATTGACGACCTCGGACGGAAATAACTCTTACTTCCAACCTCGCGGTCTGATTGTCTTTAAGTGCAGTGCAGTACAGACATGTTTTTACAACGTAAGCTATCTAGCGCAGGAGGTCAGGCAGGCAGGCAGGCAGGGACGGGAGGCAGGGAAGGAAGGCAGGCAGCGCAACCGGGTGTTGTGTACCTCAAGAGGAAGAAGATATATCAGTTACAACAGTAGGGCCGGGAGGGTCTTGGGGGTTTGGCTTGCTGGTGTTTGCTGCTGCTGCTCCAGCTTCTCGCTGCCGCGGTTAGAGCTTGCATTTGCCGGGTGATTGCTTGCTAGAGCAGCCAAGGGTGATCCCCGGACTTGATCATGAAGAAAAGCGCAAAAAGGATCTGTAGACAGCAGTGGTCGATAGCCTAGGGCGGGCGCCGCTTGTGGCCCCGGAGCTTGTGGCACCAGCTGCAGCACCAAGACTGGAAATGGAATGAAATGACTTGTTGTATGTCCACGAAGACCTCAGAGGCTTAGGACAGGGAAAGAGACAAACACGTCCAGACAGATGCCGAGAGAGCGAAGTGAAGATGCAGACAACGAGGTCGTAGGCTAGATATATCAATTTCTCGGGTTGGCTACCGTGAGGTCACTGATCCCTACACTGACTCATCAAGGGTGCCAGCTATGGCCGTGGCCTTGGCCTGGGGTCTAAACATTGCTGCTCCTTCTGCTGCTCCTGCTTGCACACGTCTGCGAGACGAGTCGACGCAGGGCAGCACTTCTCAGAAAATCTTCTCCTGTAATAGAGTCCTATTACATTCGATCCGGGCGGGCCTGCTTTCTTTCATTGCCCACCTGCCTCAGCGCGATAGCGATCGTTTACCCACTGCCCATGTGATCACGTTCTTTATGTTCAGTTCTACTTGTAGATCCTCGCAGAAAGATCATGCTCTTGAGATGAGATGAACGTAACATCCATTTGCATGTGACCACAACTGCGATGCGAGCGCATTTCATAGTGGCATGGCGAGCGACATTGAAATTGAATGTGGGCAGGGCAGGCCAGACCAGAGTTGGGCTGGGCTGGGCTGGCCTGCCTGCGAGTACTACTCGCTCAACACTTCGCGGGCCGCAGAATTCCTACATGAATAGGAATTTTCATGATCTCGTAATTGTTTTGTATTTTCCCGCTAGCTCGCTCGTACTGCTACTTCGTACGGACCCAGAGAGACTGAGCTGCTTGGCAACAAGCTTCGTACTGCCCTATCAATCCCCAGGACCTGCGCTGGAAAGGATCTCCAACTCAAGTACCTTTGGATTCGTTGAAGTGATCTCATCAAGATCTTTCCGATCAAGCCGATGAGCCCCCGTGATCTCTGTTTAGTGAATGAGCTGTTGTCCTTGGCATGCACTTCGGCCGTGCTCGATCTCTCGCCGCGCTGCCTTGTGCTCACACTGAGCCGTCAATTCTTCACTCATCAAGCTTCCTATGCTTTGTCATATACACATCTCTCTCTATCTCTCTCTCACTCACACAGACGAACACACAAAACCTCACAGTTCACTTCGTCTGTCTGGATCTCCAACTTTGATCATCACTCTGAACGTCGTGTTGTACATCTTCATCAATTCGCTTCCCATCAAGTCACGGGATTCGTGATCACATTTGGATTAAATAGGCGAATTACCTTCTACCTGGAGCACATCCTTTAAATCGCTTACAACGATGCTCGACAAGCGAAGATTTCAAGGACGGGCCATGCGACGATGGATCAGGAGCTAGCTCAGCTTCCACGGTCAGGCTTGCTGAGAATCGCATGATTGAAAAGGGAAGGATCATGAGTACAACCGTAGTCGCCTCATTATTCGTTAGAGACACACCCCCAAGATCCGTGTCCGGCCGGGTTACTTTTCCTGTCAGATTCCTACGAGAGAATAATCCAACTCTTCTAAATATGCGCTCGTGTTTTCGAAGCTGCAAGCAAAGATTTGCGAACTCGTGTCGAGACATAAGACAGTAGGTCATGTATACTTTTATCCAAGGATCTAAACCCCTGACGAGGTCAACAGTTACGGTTTGTACAGATATCGACAAGTCAGAGCTTCGACATGGGTAAGATTCTGAGTCAAATGTAAGTTAGCTGTTTGCACGTGGTCGTGGTCGCCATGGGGCTGTTACTTCCATGTGTCGTCGTTGGAGTAGTGCGTACGAGCCATTGCATAGTGCACGCATCCCAACCGAGCGAGAGCTTCTTTTTCATTTGTTCCTGCATCTTATCGAGATGTGCACATTTGTCTGCAATTCGTTCATCATGAATCCGCAACGAATGATGCACAGGACGTCAATAACGACCTGCGCAGAATCTGCAGATCGCCTTGGAAAGAATTGTCATCGTGCATATAAATACTGTACGCTTTTTCGGTTAATCCCTCAAGCTCATTTCGAACCGTGAAATGCACTCTGACCGAATGTGGCTCGACCCCGTGTGGATCAAAACGGGCCTAGTGTGCAACCGTCGCTGCATAATCTCCAGCTTCACGAGCATTTGAGAGCAGGGACGAATTCCTTCCCACATTTATTGCCAGCCATAAGTAGCGCGGCCAGGTGATCTTATTCTGCTTCAGACCGATATTCTCTTTCATGGCTCCTGCCCATTCATGACAAAGCTTTGATGCCCGTCTACTGAGTTCGAGTGGCACATGCGGAGTTTAATGCTTCCGGACTCTTGGACTTTCTAGGCAATTCCAGCATCAATGCGGACATACGCAGCGAAACGGCCCGCATTTACGAGCAGTGAGCTCTCTCGGACTCGACGAAATTTGCAGAAACCGTGCTTGCCAGTGGCAGCTGCTGCCGGACGACCGAATGAGACTACGGTAGAGCTTCGAAATGCGGATCTCAAAAGCCTCGACATCGTTCGCACATCACTCACTCTCACATACACACACTAACAAACTCCGTTCTTTCCTCCAGCGAGAAGTGTCTGATTCGTCTTCGTCCACAGGGAGACTTTTGTGGATCGAGAGCAAATAATTTTATGGTGTTCATTGTACTCATTCATGTGATGAAATCAGGTGATTCCGAGCTCCTGGCAACCACTGAAGCGACGCAGATCCTGCACCTTGTCACGAGAATGCGGTTGCGACTCGAGACAATCCGTCGTTGCGGTGCGTTGCTGGAGACGGTCGACCGGCCGATTTGCTGGGGCCGACACTCCATGACACTTACGAGAAGCTTCTTCCACTTTGACCGAGAATCTTCCACCGAGAATCTTCACGGATCAGAAATCGAGACTCCATGCAGTGGAATGCCGACTTTTCGAGTGGAGGCTAGTCTCCCGAGCGAGAGGCAGTCGAGGTCTCTGCGTAGGTTCGCTCACTGACGCGACGGGCCACAAGGGGCGTTACGCCCCGGGGTCCCTAGAAAGGCCCATCCAACCGTTTTGCGTCATTAATCCAGCCAGCGTCGGCTTGGCGGCACCCGCAGCCCCCTCTAGAGATTACCGTTGCAGCTCCAGCTGCAGCTGGAGGTGCTGCCTGACGCGCATTCATTCTTTCTTTCATTCTTTCTCTCTTTCTTTCATACTTTCGTTCTTTCTTTTAACTGTCCGGGGGAGTCTGAACTGAATTTGAGCCCTTGACATTGTTTGTTTGTGATTCGAGATGATGAGAATAAAATTACCCGAAGGATTAAACACCACTTTGTTAGTGTCGACCTCGGTCTGATATGTAATGGGCTGCAGGAAGGGTTTGGTCGATCGATCGATAGATCGATCCACATCCTCCTGTTGCAGCCACGGTATTCCGTACAATCTTTGCAGATTCTCATGTGAATTGGATCTCTCTCTCTCTCTCCCTTTGATTCGGAAAGGTTGTGTTTGATTTGCTAGTTTCATGGAATTCTCGGTGGCCTTGCCCTCAGATGTAAATGGGCATATGCTTCGGCATTTGACACCTAATTCAAGGGTTTAGGGTGGGTTTATTCGGCAGATCTGGGCCAGATTCATGTCCGGAGCTCAGAGTACTGCCGATTGTAACTTACGTCTGACTGCCATTCCTGCCGAGTGGTGTCCAGTGTGATCTCGAATTTCTGGAGAACGGACGAGGGAGAATTTTGAAGATTTTGGTGTTCTCAAATCACACCGGGATTCCAGGCAAATTCTTGACGGACTTGCAGTCCGGTACGCTGGAGATGCATGCGGGATCTGCAATGGGAGCGGAGACTCAGAGTGGCCGCAGGTGTCAAAGCCATGGCTCTGATTCCGATGGCTCACTGGGTGCGAGATCGGAAAAGCTTTTACAGCGCGAGAACTTTTTAATTTCCTGACGATTACGAAACCTGCAGCATGCTTGCTTAGCTCGGCGACTTTATTAGAAAAACGTGGAGGCCTGTTAAGATCATCATAAGCCAACCCGGCATAATATGTCAGCGAGACATCCATGATTAATGGTGCACACTTTACTGCTGGCTTACAAGGTACAGACCTCGCGCGAGTGAGTAAACATCATACATTTCCCGGGGGAAGGTTGTCTCTCAAAGCACGGCTGCACCCGCTGAGCATAGCCCTGTCTGCCTACCGTGGTAATACCTTAGCCTGCAGGCACCTGTCCGTGGACCAGTGCAGAGCTTTTCACGAGGTCCGGTCTTTGGATTCCGAGCATCGCTTTCCCCCGATGAAACGATCACCAGCACTGCCCATACCACCTCCACGCTCCATCCCCCTCAGCTACCTACAATACCGAGACGTATCTCTCACCGTGTCCATACTCCTCAGACGACCGTGTTGGCTACTTACTGCTCCTCAGAAACGACTGAATCAATCGATCGATCGTTCGCTCGCCTCCACATTTCTACATACTGCATGCAGCATTGCTGCAGGTGGAGGTGAATCTGAGCACTTAGGAAGCAGCCGGACCATTCTGAATCTCGAAATTCTACAGCCCACCGGCTCGGCAACTTTACTTTCGGAGCTTGGCAGTCTGAGCCTTTTATGTCGACGAGGCTTGAAGTCTTAGTTCTCAGGCCTGGGCTCCATGGACGAAAAGTCTGTCCTGACCGCCTGCCTGATATGGTCTGGTCTGGTCTGGACTGTGGACTCTGGTCTGATATATTCGGTCTACTCGTTAGGGGGAGTATAGCTGCCGAGTGCCGTGTGCGTCTTATTGAGTTCAGGGGTTCCAATGAAAACCATGCTGTAGGCATGAATCACGAGGGTTGGAGATTTGGGATCTCGCAGGACATGTCGACCATCCTTCTGGCTCTGCGGTGCCTGCGCTGTTTTTTTTGTCCTCATTTGTCTCACTCGATCGACAAAGTTGCTGTTGCCTGCTCTCGACATGGCATTGGTTTGGCCAGGTTGGGTCGTTCCCTGCATTTTGACTTAATGTTCCATTTGCAGTCGTAGGCCTCGGCGACCCTTTTCTTGGCCACATCCACGAGCAGCAGGCAACGTATTGGGCTTTGAATATTATTCACCACTTCATCCACTGCACAAAGTCGGTCGCTGACATGTATCCAAATTTGGCTAATCTAAATCTAGGCCTCCGATCAGCAAGTCTATTCCTAAGCAGCAGTTCCAAGGGAGATGGCAAAATCATCACCTACGCACACTTGAACACGACAGTCCATAGACTTCTCTAGTCCATAGCTTAGGTCTGGTCCAACCATGCACCAGACTAGGCCTGAGAACGAACGCACTAAAGCCATGGCGTGCTAACTTTCATTTCGTTGCTGTTTTAATGCATCGTTCTCCATGCTACCCCAAAGTCGCACGCGAGGTAAAAACTCCTCCGTCACTCTCATCGTCGAAGTTCTTGGTTAAGTTTTTGGCCCACGGGCTTTAATGAACCCGGCGAAGCTGTCGTGTGTCGTCCAAGTGTTCAATCCAATCCAGCAGGTTACTGAAGTATTTACTCCGATTTAAATGCTCCGAGAGCTGCAGCAGAGCGTTTGACCTCTGTGAATGTTTGGCGTGTTTGACACACAACGTCGAGCGAGTGTGAGAACCGCCAATCTTCAGACTGCCCACAATTCCTGATACGCCAGACGCAGAGATGGGGGAAATTCGCGCGGATGTAATACTATGACTACCAGCTCAACCCCCATCTCTGACATGCTGCAGCCATGTGAGTCAGAGGCTCGCGGTTCTACTGCAGTACCACCACTGCTACTCGGTCTACATTTCGTCTCCCGTACTACCCTCTGGACATGTAGCGAGGATCCCCGTACATCCGGATCCGATATTATGCTTCGTCCCAGTACCATATCTGACCGCCACTCCCCGCTAACCATTTTCCCCACGTTGAAAAACTTCACATCCCTACTTCGTAGAGGTCTGAGGAAGATTCGTCGATAACATTCTTACCAGAAGTTGTGCGGTTCGTAGGATGGGGCCGACGGGCGGACGGGCTGAGGCCCGAGACCAGGCCCGGGGCAATGAAGAAGCAGGAGGCTCCCACATCGGAAAGCCCTTAAGTGTTTGCATCCTGGAAAAGTTCCTCTCCAATTTCGCAGGGCGACCGTCTTCCTCCAAGGTCATGGACATGTTGGGGTCCCACTCGAGCTCTGAGGGAGAGAATTTATCTCTAGGCGGCGGATGGCTCGAGCTGGTAAGTGGGCAAGACTACGATGTCCCTCGGTGCCAGGAGGTGCTGCAAATAATACCATCTCCAAGTCTTGTTTGGCTGCCACGCCAAACAGGTAAACATGGACGCACTTCTAAATAGCTCAGCGGAGTGGCCAAACCACTGCCCTCCTTATCATACATGCCATTGTATGAATCGAGGAAGCTGACTTCGGTACTTTCCTTCTACTTGAGATCTAATTTCTGTGTAGTGCGCGGAATACTTACACACCCTCGAGTTTGCCCTTTCGAACCAGAATACGGATGAGGAAAGGTAAGTGGAAACCCTTCGGTCCCTTAAACTTTTGAAGATGCAGTTGAAGAAGGGAGCGGCTAGTTGTGCTATTTCATGTTTAGATGATAGAGGCAAGATGTATGCAAGAATTAGAGTGACAACACTTACGATGAATCGTATCATGCCTGTAAACTGTTCAACTTAGAGAGGTGAATTCCTCATTTTCAACTGCGGTAGACGGCTATTTCATTCCCAGTTAGCGCTAAGGTTGGGTGTGTTGCGTTAGCGAGTATCTTCATGGATATCGGTTTGTTCCAATATCTTGATAATTATAAAATTCTTATCAACCGATTGATTTAATCACGATGGTCTTTGCGGACTATCTATTTGTTTTGTTCTTCTAAGTTTCAACGCACAAGATCTAGTCACGTGATAGTTACATGATAGTAGTCACGTGATAGTTACATTTTAATGTTTAATCTCGACGGCGTAGCATTGACTCAACACGGAACCTTGCACTGTCCAATAGTAGATAGTTATATTTTAATGTTTAATCTCGACTCAACACGGAACCTTGCACTGTCCAATAGTTATATTTTAATGTTTAATCTCGACGGCGTAGCATTGACTCAACGCAACACGGAACCTTGCACTGTCCAATAGTCGATAGTTATATTTTAATGTTTAATCTCGACGGCGAAGCATTGATTCAACGCGGAACGTTGCACTGTCCAATAGTCAATGTTGCGTGAAAGATATATAGCCACAGATCTTGTAGGAAGTATGTTCATTTTGAAATGAGATCAATGAATACTAAATTTAATTTCTTAAATTATATTTAATTTTCATAAGATGAAAAAAAATTAGTATAGATTCAATGATAACTAACCTATCCGCTGAAAAAAGTATGAAATATGGATTGAATTCGCTCGAGGGGAGAGATTCTCTTACTGCCCGTGTATGTACATTCTGGAGACATGCGTGTGACCGGCTCGGTAGGTTTCCACGGAGGGAGCGAGCAAATCAAGGATGCGCAAGCACAGATGCAAATCTCCTCTCCAAAAGCTCGATCCTCGTCTTCCAAAAGCACGAAATCAGAGCGAGCAGCATCGGGAGTCCAGCTGCACCGGACCAGTAATTAATCGGTTCAGGCTCCGGGGCTCCTCCAAACTCTCGCGGACAGGGCTTGTCGTCCATGCAGAAGAGCTCGAGCGCGTCGAGCTCTTCTCGTCCATGATAGGCGCTCGCCGTCAATACGAGATGCATGTCACATGCACGTCACACCACGTGATGTCATGCAGAAAACAGACCGACTTTTAGGTGGGTAAAGATGACCTTAATTGTCATCGGGCCTAAAGACTACGGGACAAGGGCGGGCAGCAGCACCTCGATTGGTCCCTTTGCTGAAAGGGCTATGGCGAAACCCACCACTCCTGCTGTCGAGTGGAGCAGGGAGCGGGGTGGGAGGCTCGAAGCACGTACCGTCCGGATGAGGTCCCTTAACGCCGAGGCCTGGGCTAAAACCTACCTCATCAGCGGTGGGTTTATGGCATTGAAGGGGGGGGGACAAATTCGATATTTACTGGGTGATTGCATATTCTCTGAAGCCCAGATATGATGAGATTTAGTCCGAGAAATGGCCAAAGAACGGCAAAAGCCGATCGACTGCTGGATCTATCAATTCCGTTTGGCCGTCCACACCATGTAATGACCTCCCTACAATTTGGAATGGCAACGTCATGCTGCAAAATAGATATAGATTCGCTGGGCATCTATTTCAAGTCTGAGCTGGTCGAGCTCGTCGTCCGATCGCCGATCGCCTATGATTGTGTCTGAAA